AGATTCATTTCGTACTTTTACTTTTTTTGACATTTTACATTTGGTGGTTTTCGGATTGTGGTCAAGTCAGCAGGGTATTTTTGGTAATGTCTAATTTAAAAAAATATAAGAAAACAAAAATCGATTTAAATAATATTAATCATATTATATTGATTTATAATTAACTAAAAATAAAATTTTAAAATTTCAAAATTTAAAAAATCCAAAATCTGAATTTTTTTAATTGGATGTGCCCCACAGTGGGGTGTCAATCGAGTCGTGTTTCAGGTGCGGGTTGGATCCAGCACGAACCCGAATACTTATGTATTAACCCGAACATAACCTGTTTAACTATACGAATCAATTTTTTCAACTTGAACATAATTTGATAATAACACGAACGACCCAACATGACATGAAAGACGCCAAAAATAATTTAATATGTGCAATTAAAAATACATTTTATGAATAAAAAAAACTAAGAAATTTTTGAAAAAGGATAATATGAAATTAAATTTTAATTACTTATAAGTTATAACTTAAACAATAAGTAAATCTCTACAAACATTAAGTATTAGTTTTTTTTTAAAAAAAAAAATTCTTATGAATTTAATGAGAAAGAGCTAACTAAATAACGCATCATAAAACTGTTAGTATGTTTAGAACTAACTAAAAAGTAGATATTCTATATGATATGAGTATATATATAGGGCTTAGATAGTATGTGTTTAGCATTTATCTAATAAGCTCTCAAATTACTTATTTTGAATTTCGGGTTAAACGGGTCGATAGGAGTGACAAGCTGTCGTCAAGCTAATCAAATACAATTTTACCTACTCAACACTAATGACAATAGCACAGTAACAAGCAGGATCGTCCCACAGAGAAGGAAAACTAAATACCCGTTATAAATCACTTCTTCTTATTATTTAGACTAATGGCAATCTCAGATTTATAAACTTTAAAACTAAAATAAATAAATAAAATAAAAGTAAATAATATTAATTCAAATAATCAGACAAAGAAAACCTAGGACATTGGGTTCACCTACCGAATACTTGGCTCAATTCTAGTTCATGATTATTTGGCTTTGGATTTTTATTAATCTCACAACAATTCACCTTTTTAAGAAATATTCATCGTCGTGATATAATTCTCTTACTCTAATTAATCCTAAGACTACTGTCGTGACTATAGGAAATAACTAGAGCACATTAAGAACTTAAGAATTTATTAGTTGCAAAGGCAATGTTCCTACTGTCGTCGCTCACTCCCTACGTTTAATATTCCTATAGACTAGTGCTACCCTTCAACTGTCGTTTCTTCAGTTAAATACCTCTAGACAAGCAAATAATGGCCAGTTACAAACATGGAATAAAAGCAAGAATATCAAATATTGATCAATGGAAAAATCAAAGTATCATGAATCAAATAAACCAAATAAATTCGGTGGCTACATCCAAGCCTTAGGTTAAAAAGACTTAGCCACTAAACATCATAAAAAATAATTCAATGATATTTAGAGACATTATCCAAAATTCTGAAATTTAATAAATAGAACAAAAGCAATAAAACCCGGAAGACTCGGCCGAAAACAAAAGCTTTAAGATCAATTCAATTCAACTCCCTTGTTTGCTTCGGTTTGGATGACACCCTTCTCCTCGGCTGCTGCTTGGTTCAAGGCTGATGGTGAGGATGCGTGGATGATGAAGCTTCAGCAAGACAGAAGCTCAAGGAGTTGTGGGCGGTTGATTTGTGGTTCGGTGGTGATGATGAGCTGGTGTTGCATGGGCAGGAATGATGGAAGTAAGGTGGTGACTTGGGCTGCTGGTTGCTTGGAATCAAGTTCGATAAGCTGGTGAAGGAGGTGTGTCATGAAGGTGACTTCGGTGATGAAGTAGCAGCGGCAGGAAGGTGGAGCGGCGGGGAGTTGCAGCCGTGAGGGAGGCGTGAGTTTTTGGACAAGTTCGGTTCTCAAAATAAAACCCTAATCTTTCTTTTATAGGCTTCCGTCAGACTCTACTTCTTGAAGTCTAAGAAAACTTGTTTCTCCAAATAATATCGGGATTAAAATTCTTGCCAATTCTAACTCTAAACAGCATCGCTTCTTCGGTTTCGTCATTGGCAAGAGATAACTAGCAAGCTTCGGCCAAGAAAACCAAACCAAGTTTCAAAATTGCTTACTTGGTCTCCAAGTCTTCAAGATCTCTAATTTCTTCCTAATCATTATTCAAATCTTCAATTGTATCCCTTTGAGTTGCTCTTATCTTCATTTTAGCTCAAAACATCAACAATTCCTCCATTTGAGTACAATTCCTACAATCACATATAAAATCACATAAATAGCACATTTGTACTCAAAATATTGGCAAAATTTCACATAAATATTAAAAATAGGTAAATTATGAGCACATCAAGGAGTCATGGCAGGTTAACCTGAGTTCGGCCTGTTCCATTAAATGTGTTCGCGGGTTCGACCTGTTTTATTAAATGTATTCGTGGGTACGACCTGAATTCGACCCAAATCCGCCAGACTCAATCCTAACTCACTTATTACGTGTTAGGTTTTGAGTTGTGTTTTTCATGTTGTGTTGAAGATTGAGACCCCACCACATCTAGGTTCTTATTATTAACCTTATTTTTTAATTTTTTTTCTCCACATTCAGGACGGGACTTGGGAATGGAAAGGTGTTTGACCGGGGGAATCGAGAAAAAAATTAAAGAATAAGTTTAATAATAAGATTCTGGGTATGGGACCCATGGGATAAAAACAAAACAAATCTGATTTTGAAAAAAAATGTGAATTTTGGAATTTTATTTTTTTAAAATTAATTATAAATTAATATAATATGTTGTAATATTATTTTAATCAATTTTTAATATTTTTTTTAAATTACACATTAGCGAACATATCCTTGATGACTTGACCAAGAAATGGTCAACTCAAGAACCACCAAATGTAAAGTGTCAAGTAAGAAGGACTAAAGTAGCATAAAAAACGGACGTAATGGACCAAACTAGTGAATTTTTAACGTAAAGGACCAAATTAAGTTTTTTTGACAGATGTGAAAGAGCATTTGAACAATTTACTCTACTTGTTATGATCATCTCTTCCTTTTTTTCTTTTCCCTTTTTTTCATTATTAAGGATAAAAAAAATTTCTCCTGACACTAATTAATATTACAAGTCATTAAAATTTTTAATTGAAAGAAAATTATAGTAAGAGGTAGTAAACTATTATAAGCAAACCATCACACTGACATGACACACATAGGTTAAAAAATTACCGTAATAAGCCTTTCAAGTCTTAATCCTTTTTTAATTAAAAAATTACAATCTTATCTATTTTTAAAAAATAAATAGTGAATAACAAATTAGGCGATTATAAATCATCATTGACTAATAATTTGAAAATTACATAAAATATTTTTAAAAAGTACTAGTATTGACAATAGGTGAATCATGAATGTATATTGTTGCTGAGGACTTGTATATATTGATATCGACCTCTCTAAGAAATTCACTTTCATGAATCAATCTGTTGGGTTGCCTTTTATTGCTACGTGTCTGTGGAGATAGCTTGAAGCCTAGAATCGACTTCCTTTGATGTTAAATTCAATATTAATTAGGCGCACTAGTGGAAATTAGGTCTTAAAAGTTTAAAACTGATAGAAGGACAAAACGTAAAAATGCATGCAAACCAAGATGGGAAATTTCATTTGCGACAAATCAAATCACTAGTTAATTAGAAAAGTAAAAGGTGAACATCAAATGCGACTTAGATATATTGAAGTTTGACAAGAAGGTTTCAAACGAAAATTATTTAAAAAAAGGATGAAGATGATTACCCTACTTTGCTCAGCTGTTTTATCGATCAAAATATATACTCCTTTAAATAAACGAAAAAAATTTGTATTGTTATCAGTGGTGGACAATATGCGATATATTTCTTTTTTAAACAATATAAACCCGCTATTTGGGAGTATATGTCTTCTCATTTTATTTTATTTATTTATTTATTGGTAAATTCTTCTTGTTCTGTTGAAAAACAAGCATTACACACATTATTGTTTGAAAATTAACCAATCACTTCTGCTATTATCAACAGTTTTTGATTTAGAAGCTCAAGTACTAGAAGATGTGGCAATAAACTTAAAACGTTAGTACCTTTTGCTCATTTTCTGTGTTGCTTACTTGATAACTTAGAACTAAAATCTATATAGCTTTGTCAAACTCAGATATTTTGGTATACTTGTTGCTGTGACTAATTGAATTTGAATCAGTTAGCTCGATCTCCTTAAAGAAAATTCTTTTATCATCATTCTTGGTTGAGCGAGTATAAACACACGAGAACAACCAATTTCTTGACCGTTGTTATATTTAAACCTCGTGACAAATTGCTATAAGAACTTTACATGGACTGCCATTTTATTTTTATTTTTAAGTAAAAAAATCTAGAAAGAATCATACTTTCTCTTTATTTAAAAAATAATTATCTAGTTTGAGTTTTCGTTTCTAGCATTCATTTTGTTCCGAAATGATTGTCATATTTAAAATTTTACATTTATCACAAATTTTAATTAAGAAAATTTTATTAAATAATTATTTTAAGACAAAGGGAATGCAGTTTATATATATTAAAGGTAAAAATTCAAATTGAGTAGTAGTAACTAAGAGCTTGCTCCGTCAAATTTGGAGAAGAAACAAAATTTGTGACGATCAACTAATTTGTTTTGACCGGGACTCCTGCGGTCTATTGTCTCTGTTAGTTCTTTAATAAAAGCTTTTTAACTGATCATTTCTCATGTATAATTTTGTTAGATCATTGCAAAATACTGAAATAGTATCCATGTTATTATATCGTAAGGAGTATTATTTTAATTTAATAAAATAGATTATTTTTTGGGACTCATTTTATTTTATTTTTATAAATAGACAGCAATCATAACATATCTACGTACTTAATTTGTTATGTTTGCTTGAACTTGTTGTGTTTTCACTCAAACACACTGCCATTGAACATGGAGTTTGAACTCTCCTTTTTGTGTATTTTCCTCTTCATTGCTTCCCTCATTTTGTGCATCTTATTATCTACAAGAAACTCAAAATCCATCTTCAATAATTTGCCACTCCCTCCCGGTTCGACCGGTCTACCGGTACTTGGAGAAACATTAGAGTTTTCCTCAATGGGGAAGAGAGGCATTCCTGAAAAATTCTTGATGGATAGGATGAACAAATACTCACACCAAGTGTTCAAAACCTCATTACTAGGTGAAATAACTGCGGTTTGTTGTGGTGTTTCCGGTAATAAGTTTCTCTTCTCGTCTTCTCATCAAAACAATGACCTCATTGCATTTTCATGGCCTAGTAGCGCCAAGAAAATCTTCCCGCATTCGGGAGAAACTACGAAAACAATTAATCACAACGCGATGAGATTCCGTAGCATATTCTTTGGATTTTTCAAGCTGGAAATGCTACAAAATTGTGTCGTGTTGGTTGATGTTGTTGCTAAAGAACACTTGGAAAATCATTGGAATATGGAACAAAAAGAAGTCAATGTTGTATCAATGGTGAAGCTGTTTGCCTTTACATCCGCATGTCGGCTATTTTTGAACCTAGAAAATCGTGACGAGATCGATCACTTGGCAGCGCCATTCGAAGAAATCGTTGCCGGGATTTTCTCAATTCCAGTCAACCTTCCCGGGACAGCATGTCGCCGGGGAATCAAAGCCGCGAATGCCATTAGAAAGAAGCTAGTTGAAATTATTAGAGAAAAAAAGAAAAAAGGCATGATGGATAATCAAGATTGTTTGTCACATTTACTAACAGTGACGGATGGTAATGACAGATTGTCAACCGAATTAGAAGTTGCTGATCAAATTTTGGCTTCACTAGCTGGGAGCAGGGATTCCACAACTTCAGCAATCACTTTTATCATGAAATATCTTGCTGAATTCCCTCATATCTACCACGAAGTCTTGAAAGGTACTATTTTAAAAAAATGTTTTTTGAATGTTTATCTATTTTCCCTTCTAATTGGAAAATAAATATTTTCATGTGTACCATATGAAGAGCAAAGAAGTATAGCAGAAGCAAAATCTTCTTCAGGGGAGCCACTTAACTGGAAAGACCTACAGAAAATGAAGTACACTTGGAATGTGGCTAGTGAAGTATTGAGATTGTTGCCTCCAGTTCAGGGAAATTTCCGAGAGGCCTTAGTTGACTTGAATTATTCAGACTTTTTCATTCCCAAGGGATGGAAGGTAAGAAATGATTGTGCATTTGTATTCCATATTTTTCTGCAAATATACATGGTTTGATAAACATGGATGTACAACTTGGTTTTCTTTGTCCAGCTATATTGGAGTCCGCATACCACACATCGAAACCCGGAATATTTTCCAGAACCAGAAAAGTTTGATCCATCAAGATTTGAAAGAACGCATCCAATTCCTTACGCTTATGTTCCTTTTGGAGGAGGATCGCGAGTGTGCCCGGGCAAAGACATTGCGCGATTAGTCATACTTGTGTTTATGTACAACGTTGTTGGGAAATTTAGATGGGAAAAGATGATCCCTGATGAGGAAATTATGGTGTTACCTGTTCCTTTTCCAGTAAAGGGACTCCCTATTCGTCTGTATCCCAATCAAAAATCTTAATTGTAAAGATAAATTATAGAATTCAAGCAATATATAAAGTGAGCAATGCCATAAGAATAATCTGCAAATTTCATCCTTTGCTAATTAGTACAAGGGATGAAGCAAATTCAGAAGTTTGAACATTATATCGTCAATCACAAATGGTTCAATGAAATGATCAGAGATCAACAAGCTTATTTTGAGTTTCAATGACTGATAAGCACTTGAAGGCCTTCAATTGACTCCTCCAGGTATCTGATGGACTCTTGAAGAGATTCTGAACACCATTTCACTTCAATGATTTGCAATGTGGGAATTTCTGAAAATCCGTATGGAACATCTTCAAGGTCCTTGCAATTCCACAGAAAAAGTTGCTCAAGTTTTGGAAGATGATTAGAAGCAGCATTCCATTGAATTACATTGGAGGAATGTAGCTTCAAGAACTTGAGTTTACAGAACTCATCATTGTTCATGTCCCAAGTCTGCCTTTGAAATGTTGCGGAAATCAATTTCAGAACTTCCAAGTTTGGAAGCCTCCCGATGGATGACATCTGATCCCCTGACAGATAAAACCTTGATAATGTAAGTTTCCTTAAATTCAGTGGCAGAGAAAATCCCCCTGCAGCTGGACTGCGAACGCTTCCAGCGTACATTATGTTGAGTGACTGCAGATGTATTAAATGGTCTAAAGCTGGAAACTTGTTGCAGTTAGTCTCTGAATAATATTCCGAATCATAGAATGCGCATCTCAACTTCTGGAGATTCGGAAACTTTCTTAGTACACGGATAATATTGCGAGTCTTGGAATATGATTTTTTGTTATTAGCATCAAACTTCCCAATAAAAGCAGATGTTGAAGAAAAGGTGAGCAGGTTATCCAGCGTTTCTGAGGACCAAAACAAGTCACCACTTGTTTGGAAAGTAGGTTCACTCTTAATATGTACATGCCTTAAGCTTTTCATGCACCAAAAATCAAATGGAAGCTCAATACCACTTAATCCCTTCACTATAAATGTTTCTAGTTTTCGAAGATCTGATATCATACCTGGAATGTAGTTGAAATTCCCAGTTACCGATAAGTATCTCAGTAGAACTAGAATCAATATTTCACTGGGGAAAGAGGATCCCATATTGATGCATTCCAAATCCAACAACCTGAGAAGTTTAAAGTTTTTATACCTGAAGGAGAGTTTATAAGCATGTTCTGGATGTGCATAATCAGTGGCAATGTATATGAGAGAACGGGCGAAACGACCTGAGGGTCTTGAATCACTAAAATGCTGACGCTTCAAATGAACACAAATGTGATACGCCTCAAATTTTGCAATGTTTAAGGGACCTTCAACCTCAAAATCAACTCCAGGATATAACTTATCAAAAGAAGCATAAGTTTCATCATACCTGATGATTCGTCCTAAACTGTTTTCAGCTTTTGAATTTGAGAGACATAACTGATTAAACAGAACATGCATTCGACATGATTTTACCCCTCCCCTGGATTTCCTTTTGACAATTATCAATAGGCCGCGATCAATTAGCTCCATCACGGCATCTTCTGCAACTTCATCTAAGCTTTTCTCATCAGTTTTGTGTATCAATCCTTCGGCAATCCACATTTGTAACAACTTTCTGACATGAACATCTTTATCCGGTTGGAACATTCCAAAGTACAGAAAGCAAGCTTTTAGATGATGAGGCAAGTGATTGTAGCTCATTTCCAAGATGCTTTTGCACTGAGATTCTGGATCATCATTGACCCGAGTATTCAACTCCTCTAAAATCTGCTGCCATGACTCCTGCTTCTTCTCAGTCTTTTCTAGCATACCAGCAACTACAACAACTGCCAGAGGTACTCCTTTACATAGTTCAGCAATTTTCTTTCCGACTTGTACTAATTCCTCGGGACAACATCCTTCCTCACGGAAAATCCTTGTTTCCAGTAATTTCCAACTTTCATCACCAGACAGCGGACGAAGTTGATGAGGAGTACTACTCGGCATAGCATCCAAGGCAACCTGATGAACACAACTTATTAACATAATTCTGCTTCCATTTCTATCATCCAGAAATGATGCTTTTACGGCTTCCCATGCTCCAATATCCCACACATTGTCAAAAACAACAAGGTACCTCTTTCTTCTTAAGCATTGCCGTAATTTCAACTCTAAAGATGCATCCTCCATGTCATGAATTTCATCAGTGTGCCCTTGAATGTCTCCTAGAAGTTGTAGCAACAAGTCCCTTTTCACGTATGTCTGTGGAACACAACACCAAGCACGACGCTTAAAGTGATACGAAACCCTTGGATCATCGTATACCTTCTTCGCTACAGTTGTTTTTCCCAAACCAGGCATTCCTACAATAGAGACAACATCCCTTTGGGACGATCGTCCCATTAGCCTGTCGATGATGAGTTCCTCCTGATCGTGAAGATAGAGCACCGGCTTCTCAGTTTTCCGTTTACCTAAACCTTCGCTGGTGCTTAAGTTCACAGGGATGTGTTGGCCTCCATCTTCATCAGTCATCTTCTGCAATTTTGCGCCTTCAACCATCGTCTCGATAAGAATGATCTGCCTATATAGGTTATAGGTCCACAATACATGTTGCCAGTGAGGGCCTATTTTAACCTCAGCTAAGTCCATAATGCATTCTAAGTCATACATCATCTTTGTAATGTAAGCGCGAAAATGTTTTGGTTCAGAAAGCTCCAGCTGCTCCTTCAAAGCTCCTTCGATATATGGCCTCAAAGAGATTAGTGCCCTTCGAATGTGTCCCATGTTCTTCTCTACTGGCCATTGAGATATATGTCTGAGGTTGCTTGGCTCTAATCGGTCTCTAACTAGACTATCAAAAAATCCAATGTCTGCAGACTTGTTCGAGAAATCGAACTTTGGGATTTGGACATAAAACTGCTCAAGCATCCAAATCAAGAAGGCTGTGAAAGGGTCAGTATCTTCATGATTGTCACTATTAAACCCCCATGAGCTCAGCATCATCTCCAACAAACCTGATTGGTTCACATGATGAATGAATGAACTTTTCGTTTCAGGCGGAAGAACTAAATGTTGATAGACACCAAGAAGATTCAAATCCTGGTGAGAATAATTGTGCTTTGATGAGAAGCTCCTGAAAAATATTGAGAAAAAAAAATCAGGCAAACTCCAGGGTACAATAAATTGAACCATCGGAAACTAGAAATGGATTATCAACTTGGTTATTTGTCACCAATACAATGACTAAATTCAGCTCAATGGATTCTATACGATTGAAAGGAACTTCTGATCAATCTACTAAACATCCTAAATGTGACCTTATTAAACTCATTGGAAAGGATGTCAAGTTCCCAATAAAATTGTAGGGGACCAATTCTAGGCAATTAAGCTTTTTTTGTCAATTAAAAATACGTACTAGGTGAAATTTAGAGCAAATCAAAATACCTTATATTAAGGACGGAGGGAGTAATAAAGAAGCTTACATGAAAAAACAGGGGACAACTCCGGCTATTTCTCTGTTCAATTCAGGTAACTCTGCACCCTTTGCCAGGAGATCATCCACCATTTTCATCATCCAAGTGATTGAGCTTTCTTGATAACCCAACAGGAGAGTGATTATCAGCTTAGCAAGCTCATCGCCTTTCGCTTCGATTTTTGCCACGGCTGACCCACAGCTCTCCAGCACTTCAGCTACTTCAGTACTCCATATCTTCACTCCATAAACGAACACATTTAGGATTATCCACTGTTTTTTCATTTCCTCGATTTCGTGGCGGTAATGGTGTTTTGTATTCTTCTCCTTGTCCAACTCATCAAGAAATTTTGATAATCTGGATTGAGATTCTTCAGATGGGATTTCCTCCTCTGCTTTCTTTATATGATAACAGAGTTCTTCTAACAGACGTTGAAGGTGACGATGATCATAAATCTCTGCAGTATTTGCAGTACTGCTGCTTGAGTTATTAACCATCTGATGGCACTCTTCACCAATCAAAATTAGTTTATGTTGACCAAAAAAAGTGAAATTTCTAAGTGATATTTCTTGATCAATCAGATTTTGCTTTCTTTTCGTAGCTACGAAGAAAAGAAAAATGACACCTGAAATTTATGTTGGTTTTTTGGTGCGTTGTTAGGTACCTAGTGTCTGAAAGCACTGGCCTGACTAATCTGAATTCGAATTGTATAGATATATTTCAAAAAATAAAATTCTTTCAATTATTGTTTTAATCACTATTGCATATTCATGGTCCGGTTCAAACTTTAGTTTTTGTGTATTTTCTGTGACGCAGCTTGCAAATATATGCGAAAAACTCAACTAAACTATTTGGTTTATTTTATACTGTTATGGATACGCACTACTTCAACCATACAAAATAATCATTAGTCTTAATGATGATGCTTGATCAACAAAGTCAACTATAAGCCTCATGCTAATATCAAAACGAAGTCAACTAAATTATTTAATATTATCGTGCGTACAGTAGTGGATCATCACTAAGTTAATGATAAGTTCATCAAATGGTATATAGTGACCATCTATAGAGCAAATTAAAAGTTGTCCTTTTCTTTTGACCAAAAAAAAAAAGTTGTCATTTACTTCACAACGACCTTACTGAATAACGTATCGGAGTTGGGATGGAGGAAGATGTTTGCAGAAGTTGGCAATACAAGCATTATTGTTATGGTAGTAAGAGAAATGGACGTGAATAGTCTCAAGGTAGGGATAGTGCGTGGTTAAGGTCAAACATGTGTTTTGTAAGACTAATTTTGTAGTAAATTATATGGCATCTCTGTCAGCACAAGGCTCAGATTGAATACAATGACTTGTAACAACTGAATCTTATCCCAACAATCACTTTTGATATTCAAATGAATTTAATTCAGAAAAATAAGAAGACTGTTAAAAATAGTCTTAAACAAGAATATGATATTCCTGAAAATTTATAAGAACTTAATAAATGGACAATTTCAAAAATTAAATTAAAAACTATATATCAGTTATGTACTTTTGAAAAATTAGGTTTGAAACAAGTTGTTAAAACAACTGAAGAATCTATTTCTTTAGATAATGAGGAAATAGAGATCAAATTATTGCTATCAGATGATATTAATAGATATTGTCAATTATATAAATTTATTCATATTAGTTTGGTACAGAATGGTTTTAAACTATTAACTTTAGAAGGATTGCCAGAAGGCTTTATAGCTTGTTTACGAGATGCTAGAAATTTGAATTGGAAACAATCATTAATGAGAATAATAAAATCTAGCTTGGCAAATGGCCCAGTTTATTTTAATATCTATCCAAATCTTTCATTATCTTTAAGTGATGTCAATATCCTTGATGCATTGACTTTGAACGTTAAAACTCATGGATATAATTATATGACTAGATCAGAATTGATTTGTATATGTTATAGAATTTATTATAAACCTTGAATGACTTTAAATCCCAATTGTAAATTAATTGATGAAAATATAAATGAGACAGTTTTAATTGAAACTAATTTTAATAAATCAAAGATTATTGCTAGAAGGACAATTAAATGGGATGAAATACCTATTCCAGAACAATGGATTATAGAAAGAACTGGTAATATCCAGTCACAAACAAATACAGAAGTAAGTTTTATTGAACAAACTCCTGAAGGACATGTTTATATACAAATGAGGAATAATCCATTCCTGTCGAATAATAATAGATCTCATAAATCTGGATTATCTCGATCATATTCAACTTATTATATTTCACCTCTAATAGAGGATTAAGATTTTATTCTTAGTCGTACTTCTAGCTCATATAGTGAACATCCTTATCATGTTTCTACTTCACAGGTTAGTGAATGTGACGAGAATAATCGTCATGTTGATAAATTGGTAAAAATTAAAGAAAATATAGTTAAAGGTGTTTATAACACCAAAGATGAAGATATAACTGAGTCCGAAATAACATTTTCAATATGAATAAGATAGATTTTAGTCCAGGTTCTTTGGCTATACATAATACACCAAACCCAACATATGAAGGTTTAGTTACTAAGCCACAATCACAAAATATTACACAAACTGAACAGATTTGACTAGATCAAGATGCCATACATATTGAACTAGCTTATAAAAAGTTTCAATGACTGATGAGCACTTGAAGACCTTCAATTGATTCCTCTAAATATTTGATGGACTCTTCAAGAGATTCTGAACACCATTTCACTTCGATGATCTGCAATGTAGGAATCGCCGAAAATCCATATGGAACATCTTCAAGGTCCTTGTAATTCCATAACACCAGTTGCTCCAGTTTGGGAAGATGATATAAAAAAGCATTCCATTGAATGATATTCAAGGAATCCAACTTCAAGAACTTCAGTTTACGAAACTTCTCTTTCTTCATGTCCCAAGTCAGGCCTTCAAATGTTGCAGAAATCAATTTCACAACTTCCAGGTTTGGAAGTCTCCCAATGGATGATATCTGTTCCTCCGACAGGTAAAAATTCGATAGCGTCAGTCTCCTTAAATACCATGGTAGAGAAAATTCTGCTGCAGCTGGATTGCGTTAGTCTCCGTATAATGTAGCGAGTCATGAAATGTGCAATTCAACTTCTGGATATTTGGAAACTTTCTTAGTATTCCCTCTGCATTTTTGCCATACAGAAGAGATGGTGAAGAAAATTTCAGCAACTTATCCAGCAAATTTGAAGTACCAAACCTGTAACCATTTATGTCCACAGTAGCTTCGCCCTTAATATATGCATGCCTTAAACTTTTCAGGAGCCAAAAGTTATCTGGCAGAAGTATACGACTTAATCCCTTCACAATCAAAGTTTCTAGTTTCGGAGAGCATTTATTGATGCTGAAAGATGTTTGAAATTCCAGATAGCGATAAGAATCTCAATAGAACTAGATATTCTATCTGAGAGGGGAAAAAAGATCCCATATTGATGCATTCCAAATCCAACACCCTGAGAAGTTTGAAGTCTTCAAATATGAATGAGAGGTTATATGCATCTTTTGGATGAGCATCATCAGAGGCAATGTATATGAGATAACGTGCAAAAGGGCCTAAAGGTCTTGAATCAACATAATCCTTACGCTTCAAATGAACACAAACGCGATACTTCTCATATTTTGCGAGACTTGAAGGATCTTCGCGATCTAAATCAATTCCATGATATGGTTCATCATACAATGTAATCCTTTGCGAGAAGTTCTCAGCTTCTGATTTTGAGAGACATAATGGATCCAACAGCACATGCATTCGACATGATTTTAACCCTCCAGTGGATTTTCTTTTGGCAATTATCAAGAGTCCGCGATCAATTACCTCCATCAGGGCATCTTCTTCTTCTTCCTCGAAGCTTTTCTCATCAGTTTTCTGTATGAATCCTTCAGCAATCCACATTTGTAACAACTTTCTGACTTGGACATCTTTATCTTGTTGGAATATTCCAAAGTACAGAAAGCAAAACTTCAGATGACGAGGCAAGTGATTGTAGCTCATTTCCAATATGTTTTTTCAAGAAAATGTGGATCATCATTGACCTGAGTATTCTTCAACTCCTTTAAAATTTTCTGCCATGACTCCTTCTTCTTTTCAGTCTTTTCTAGCATACCAGCAACTGAAATGGCAGCCAGAAGTAATTCTTCACATCGTTCAGCGATTTCTTTTCCAACTTGTTCCAACTCCTCAGGACAACATCATATGAGCAGTTGGTTATCATAATTCTGCTTCCATTTCCATCATCAGGGAATGATGTTTGTATGGCTTCCCAAGCTCTAACATCCCAAAGATTGTCCAAAACTACAAGGTACCTCTTTCTGCTTAAGCATCTTTGCAATCTTAATTCCAAATCAGCTTCATCCATATCATGAATTTTCTCGCCACGCCTTTGTATGTCTCCCAAAACTTGTAGCAACAAATCCCTTTTCTCATATGTTTGGGAAACATAATACCATGCGCGGCACTTGAAGTGACGCGATATTCTTGGATCATCATATACAATGTTGGCAAGTGTTGTTTTCCCCAACCCAAACGTTCCAACAATAGCGACCAGATTTCTTTGGGAGGTTCCCGTTGTCAGCCTTTTAGCAATAACTTTCTCCTGATCAAGAAGGCGGAACACCAACTTCTCAATTTTCGCTTTAGATGCTCTTGCTATGCCGCTTGATTTCGCAGGGACCTGATGGCCTCTGTCTTTGTTACTGCAATTTCGTGCCGGCTGCCAGCTTCTTAATATCAAAAATCTCCCTGTAGAGGTTGTTAATCCACAATAGATGTTGCCGACGATCGCCTGTTTCAACCTTGATGGAGTCGGCGACATACTCCAGCTTGTATATCATTTTTGTAACACGATCGTCAAGATCTTGTGGTTCAAAAAGCTCCAGCCCTTCCTGCAAAGCTTCTTCAATATATGGCCTCAAGGATATAAGTTCCTTTTGAATGTTTTCCATATTCTCTCTTAAGTACCAATCATATTTGCACTTCTCACAGCTCCAATAGTCCTTCCGATAGACTATCAAAGAATCCAATGCCTAAACACTTGCTTGGAAAATCAGCTTTTGGAATTTGGCCATAACATTGCCCGAGCTTTGCCTTCACCTTCAGTACCTCTTCTTTCTCAATTGTCATTTCTCCCAAAATACAATGAGTAACGGAGAGATATTATCCTCTTGGAAAAAGATTTGATTCGCTCAAACGTCGTTTCTTTCTCAGCTGTCCTCTGAAGCTTAACATTTATGAGAACTGATATGAACAATTTGACATCTCCAAGAAGGAGTTCAAGTTCATTTTCAAAACAGGCAATCATAACATGATCATTAAGATCTAATAGTCTCCTCAAAGCTAGTTTAGCCTTCAAAAGTGTCACCAAGGAAAGTAGTAAAGAAATCGACATCTTTACCTTGTCTTCTTCAAGTTTCTCGTAATAAGTTTCCAGCTCATTAAAACAAACAAAAAGGCGGTCGATTCGGGTATCTCTTGTGCGATGATTCAAGATTTCCTCACTAGATAAATGCAGCTGTCCCTTGAGGAGAATCCCAACTTTCCGCAGCCATATCTTCCTTGCTAAATTCAGCACCTTACTTTCTCCATATTCAGAAGGCTGGATAGTTGCTGCCTCAGCAATCATTTCTTTCATCTCCGCAACATCCCATTTTCGTTCATCCTGTTCGATGAAGTCGACTGGGGTATTGATGAGATAGATTACCATCTCCTTCAATTCCATATGAAGAAAATTCTCTCCAACATTGCAGCTGGAGACATTTTTAACAATGCTGGAACAGAAGAAAAAATCAACCAAATCCGCTTGGCTAATCACAGATGATGCCGTTGGATTATCACTACGGTATTCATCCAAAGTTTTCAAAAATTTGATTGTGAAATCCAGAAACTGGGTTTGGCAAGAGAAACTTCATCAATAACATATGTATCAGGCAAAGACAGGCTATGATCATGAGGTTTATACGAACGCAATGTCGAAAAGCACATGCAGAACACTATGAAAACAACCCCGCCGAAATGATCCAAGAACCCTCTGATAACAGCTCTTTTATTGATGATCAGAGGATCAACTGTTTCATCATGGACTTCAGTAATGTCCTATGAAATCATCATTATGTTGAAAAAATCTGATTGATTCACAAGACGGAAGAAGCCGGTGAGTTGTTCGAGGGGAAGTTTTGGATGTGAACGCAAACAGGTTAAGGATTCAGCAAACTTGATCCAAAGGAAAAGATCAGGACACCAGGGAGAATAAATTTTCACGGAAGCCAGATCCTGAAAATGTCGGAAACGTTCAGAAAAATCATCGAATCCAGCCACCATCGAACAGTCGATCCAATTTATAATGCACAATTCTAATACTCCATCCGTCCCAAAATTATCGTCTAGTTTAGAATTTTATTTTTAGTTCAACTTCTAGTAAAAGTGAAAATCCAAATTGAACAATAATTTCAGAACCTAGAGAGTATGCGTAATGTGTTAAGGCCTATTGTAATATTTAGAATATTTCCTATTATGTTCTAGTTTAGGGTTTGTTATTGTCTATATATAGTCTGTATATTGTGCACAATATATGATGAATCTAATATAATTTCCCTATTCTAAGTTGGTATCAGAGCTAGGTTTAACAAAACCAATTTTTTTTTCTCCTCTCTCTTTTCTCTCCCCCGCAGACTCCTTCTTTTTCGGCCGTGCACACCCCCTCCGCCGTAGTCGGCTTCTTTCTTCTTCCAATCCGTCGACCAAGCTCAGCATCGCCAGCGTGTGCTCCTCCTCTCCTCTTCCAATCCGTGCTGCTGCTGCCGCCGGTCGTCTTCGTCGAGCTGCCGCTATTTTCTGCCGCCAGTCTGCTGCTGCTTCAGCCAGTGTCCTTCATGACGTGGTGCTGCTGCTGCTGCTGTTTTCCTGCAGCCGGTCTGCTGCCGCACACCTGCCGTCGACAATCCCGAGTTGTTAAAAATAGTTCTTCGTCCGGTGTTGGTCGGTCGTGCCGTGGATTCTTAAACACAATCATTCAACCAAAAAAAAAAAAAACCAAAAAAAAAAAAAAACCAAAAAAAATCATAAAAAATTCAGTTTTGCTTGCTTACTTTCAACGATGACTATCATCGACCTTTCATCCGCCGACCAGGCTACTCATCTTCGGTCACTGGTATCTTCTTCCCAGACGTCAGTATCAATTCTTCAACCTAGTATGCAATCTCTCAATCATTCCTTTACTGTGAAGCTGCAATCTCGGGTCAACTATTCATCTTGGCGTCTTCAGTTTACTCCTTTATTGACTATGTTTCGTGTTGCCGGTATTGTCGACGGCACCGAACCTGCACCACCACGTTTTCTTCCTTCCGTTAGTGGTGCCGTGCTCCAACTCAATCCTGAGTTTGATATCTGGCAGCAAAAGGATCAGTTGGTCCTCTCTTGGATTCTTTCTTCCGTTGCTGAAGAGATCTTTCCCGTTCTCCAGGGCTGCACAACGACGGCTGCTGCATGGACAGCTCTTCAGTAAGGTTTCGGCACTCTTTCTTATGCTCAACAGACCCAGCTTGTTATGGAGCTCCACAGCTTGCAAAAAGGTGACTTGTCGGTCACGGCTCTCCTCTCCAAAGCAAAGGGCATCGCCGATACCCTGCAGCTTGCCGGCCATCGCATATCTCCTGCGGAGTTTAATGCCATAATCTTCCGCAAGCTTGGTGCCGAATTCAATGGCATCATCGGAGCTCTGCAACAGCGATCCGAACCCCCCTCCTATCAAGATCTCCTTGGACAGTTAGTTTCGTATGAGGTGCTTCTTCACGCCCAACAGCCGGTACTTCAGCCCACGGCCATGTTTGTGCAGTCGCCATCTTCTCCTACGCCGCCTCAATCCTCTCGTGCCGGTTGCTCGCAACGCGGCGACCGGCGCAATCAGGGTTCTGGTCGTGGTGGTGGTCGGCGTGGGTACACCCCTCCCGCTCCGAGTGAGACGTGTCAGCTTTGCGGCATCTTGAATCACACGGCCGCCACTTGTCGACGCCGTTTCGATACTAATTTTGTTCCTCGACCCCCTGCCGTTCGGTCGGCTGCTTATGCCCAAGTAGGCTCTCCTGCACCGCCTTCAGCTGGTTTGTTGCCTCTTCCGTCTTACCCAGAGTCGACTATGTCTCCTCAAGCCCATATGGCGCAGTATGCCCCTTCTGTCACTCCCTGGCATCCGGACACTGGTGCTACCGATCATGTCACGCCAGATTTGTCCTCTCTCAGTATCTCCAATGATTATACTGGTACGGATCATATTTTAGTTGGTAATGGAGATACTTTACCTATTCAGCATGTTGGTCAATCTGTTTTGCCATTGTTTTCTCGTCCTCTTTATTTAAATCGTGTCTTGCATGCTCCTTCTCTTACTAAGCCTCTGTTATCTGTTCAAAAGTTTACCCGTGATAATCACTGTTTTTTTGAATTTTATTCTGACTCTTGTTGTGTTAAGGATCTTTCAACCAAGGAACTCCTCCTCTGCGGTCGGGCTGATAATGGTCTCTATCGCTTAGATCTTCCTGCTCGTGGTTCCTTGTCCCCAGCAGCTTATCTTGTCTCTTTAGGTCAGTGGCATGCTCGTTTAGGGCACCCTAATAATGTCACTCTTCGTACTTTGGTTAGGCAATTTCAACTTCCTTATTCCTCTGTGTCCACGTCCACTGATAAATGTGAGGCGTGTTGTTTAGGGAAGTTATATAGGGTCAGTTTACCTTCTACTTTTCATCGTAGTTCTAAACCTCTTGATTTAATCCACACTGATGTTTGGGGTCCTGCTCCTATTTTGTCATTCAATGGTTATCGCTACTTTGTGCTTTTTATTGATGACTTCTCTTTATTCACATGGATTTATCCCATTAAATATAAAAGTGATGTTGTCCATGTTTTCAAGCAATTCAAAGCTCTCGTAGAAAACCAATTTGGCACTACCATTAAAAGTGTTAACTCTGATTGGGGTGGTGAATTTCGTTCTCTCAATTCTTTCTTTAAGGATGTCGGTATTGTTCATCGTTTAGCGTGCCCACACACTCATGAGCAGAATAGCGCTGCTGAACGCAAAATTCGTCACATTGTCGACATTGGACTTGCTCTCCTTGGCCATTCAGTACCCTTTTTCGGTTTTGGGATTTTGCTTTTGAAACTGCTATGTTTTTGATTAATCGCCACCCTAGTAAACCTCTTCAAGGTCACCTACCCTTCACTACACTATATCACCAGCCACCTGATTATACCTTTCTTCGTGTCTTTGGTTGCGCTGTCTATCCTCTTCTTCGCCCTTATAATAAACATAAGTTCTCCTTCCGTTCTACTCAGTGTGTCTTTCTTAGGTATTCTCCATCTCATCTTGGTTATCGCTGTTTTGATGTGGTGAATAACCATCTTTATGTTGCTCGTCACGTTGAGTTTGATGAGAAACTCTTTTCCTTTAAACTTCCTATTTCTAGTTCTCCTTCTTCGCTGCTGGAGTCTCCTGCTACCCCTTGGTTGCGTGTAACCAGTTCTCCTGGTATGCTTGCGTCGTCTTCTGCGTCTTCTTCGTCTCCTTCTAGTACACCAGTTCTTTCGTCTCCTCCTATCCCTCCCGACTCATCACCTTTAGCTAGATCTCCTGCATCCAACTCTTCATCATCTGATTGCAGTCCTCCGCCGCCACCTCCTCCTCCTTCTTCCTGTCAGCACTCAATGACACTTCGTCCACAACCCAAGCCCAAGAAAATCTTTGATCCCTCGGCTCATCTTACCTCTGTTTCTCCAACCTTGTCTACTGCTCCTACATCCTTCACCCAAGCCAAATCTCTTCCTCAGTGGCAGAATGCCATGAAGGATGAAATTTCCGCCCTCCTCAAAAATAACTCATGCTGATGGCTCTATTGAGCGGTATAAGGCTCGGTTGGTGGCTCGAGGTTTTACTCAGTCTTCTGGGGTTGATTACACTAACACATTTAGTCCGGTTGTTAAGCCAGTCACCATTCGTTCAGTTTTGACTGTTGCCCTGGCTCGTGGATGGTCGATTTCTCAGCTTGATGTCAGTAATGCCTTTCTTAATGGAGTTCTAAGTGAGACCGTGTATATGATTCAGCCACAGGGGTTTGTTGATCCGGTGCGCCCTCATTATGTGTGTAAACTGCATAAGTCCTTATATGGTCTTAAGCAAGCCCCTCGGGCCTGGTATTCTTGGCTGGCAGCATTTCTAATTACCTTGGGTTTTATGGAGTCTCGTTGTGATCCGTCTCTTTTTGTCTATCGTCGTGGGTCTCAGTTGTGTTTTTTGCTGGTCTATGTGGATGACATTATTCTTACAGGCAGCACTTCTGGTTTGGTCCAGCATTTTATCTCTTGTCTTGCTAAGGAGTTTTCTCTTCGGGATTTAGGTCCATTGAGTTACTTTCTTGGGGTTGAGGTTCGTCGTACTTCCAAGGGTTTGCTTCTCTCTCAGCGCAAGTATGTCACTGATTTGCTACGACTTGCAAATATGCATACTTGCAAACCTGTTTCCACTCCTTTGCAGGCTCATGTTGTGTTGTCACGTTTGGATGGTACTCTGTTGTCGCCTGATGATTCGACTACTTATCATTGCTGTGTGGCAGTCTACAGTATACCACTCTCACTCGTCCAGATATCTCCTTTGCGGTTAATAAGCTTTGTCAGTTCATGCATCAGCCTCGTACTTCTCATTTTCAGGCTCTCAAACGGGTTCTTCGCTATCTTCGTGGTACCATTGATTACTGTTTAGTTTTGCATCCTACATATTTGGGTACTCTTACTGCATTTAGTGATGCTGACTGGGCTGGTTGTCCGGATGATCGTCGTTCTACTACTGGTTTTCTCATTTATTTGGGACCTAATCTCATTGCCTGGGCATCTAGGAAGCAGCCCACTGTGGCTCGCTCGTCTACTGAGGCTGAGTTTCGTGCGGTTGCTAATGTCTGTGTTGGACTGCATTGGGTGTGTCATTTGTTGTCCGAGTTAGGCATTTCTTTAAATCGCCCTCCCTCTATTTGGTGTGACAACAGTAGTGCAGTTTTCCTTGCTGTCAATCCTGTGTTCCATTCTCGTACAAGACATGTTGAGGTTGATTTTCACTTTGTTCGAGATCATGTTCGGCGTAAGTTTGTTTTGGTCAATTCTATCTCTGCTGCTGATCAGCTTGCTGATATTCTGACAAAACCCTTGTCCAAAGAGTTATTCTTTCGATTTCGGGACAAACTTCAGCTTCTCTCTTCTCCGCCGTAAGTTTGCGGGGGCGTATTGTAATATTTAGTATATTTCCTATTATGTTCTAGTTTAGGGTTTGTTATTGTTGTCTGTAT